TTTACTTATTATGCATGTGATGTATGATTGAATGTATGCATGTATGTGATTTTCGCTAGTGCATGCGCGCGGTGTATGCCATAGGCAAGACTGCGTAATAAATCCCTCATAATTTTAAGTCTGTGCCACCCCGACGCCCCGTCACTCGTCAAACCCAATTTAGATCGGTAACGGACTCACCCAAGTGAGACGCCCGGTTTACGTTAGTTAGGCGCGAAACCCGTAACTAGGGTACTGACTCGCCCCAGGTTAGTCTTAACTAAGTCTTGGTCATATGGATGAGAGACTTAGGGCACTACGGTAGGATCAATAAATAAAATCAGATCATCCAACCAGAGTTGTAACTTGTTACAATTGGAATTTGTTCCTACCAGAAATAATTTAACTGTAGGGCAAGATGCAAAGCACAACTATAGTTAAAAGAAATATGGATCTGGCCCAATTAAGAATTTTATTTAAAAAAATCCACCGAACCAAGAGTTGTAATAACGATTGCAATTGGAATGAATTCCTACCTAAATAACTTGACTGTAGGGCAAGATGCAAAGCACAACTATCACTACAAGAATTTATCTGGTCTGCAACGAAAATCTGCTACGGACACATATCCGTAGCAGATCTGCAACGAATCTGCGACGGAGTAATATTTTCTGAAAAAGGAACACTATCTGCGACGAAACTTTTGTTTTTGTCGCAGATCTGCTACGGAATAAAGTGAGGTAAACATGTCGTGTAATCTGCAACGAAATCTGCAACGGACTTATTTCCGTTGCAGATAATTAACTAAAATTGGGTTATCCTCTTTTAGATCTGTAGACGAAATCAGTTCACAGATCCAGACATCCAGACCCAGCAATCTTCCGTCCACCCAACTTCGACCGACACATCTCCTCCGCGGCTTTCCTAGACCGCCGGCCGCCGTCGCACGGTTTGTTAACGTCGTGGCGCTCGTCCTCCTTGCCTCGCCGTCGACCGCGCAGCCAGTGTCTCCCTCCTCGCCTCGCCTTCGACAGCTAGTGTCTTCCTCCCTCCTCGCCGCCGCCGCCAGTGTCTCCACCCCTCGCCTCCGCCAGTGTCTCGACCGCCATCTTCCCCCACCTGACCTCCTCTTCCTCTCAAGGTATTTTAGTTTAATTTTATACAATTTATTATTATTGTAATTTTTTGTGAAATTGAATTTGTTTGTGTGAAATTTAGTGCATTTTTAATGAAATTTAGTTGAAATTGTGTGAATATGAGTTTAAATTGATATGAAATTGGGTAAAAATTGCATTAGTTTTTTTGTGAAATTGATAGCACTTGAGCTGTAATTTTTGTTGAAATTGTGTTAGTTAATTTGACGTTTATTGAGAATTTAAGTAAAATTTAGTTGAATTTTGTGATATATGTAGTTAAATGATTGTTGTTTGTGGTTTTATTAGAGAAGATACTTGAAATTGGTAACTCCTCCACAGCTTTTTCCCGTAGCAGAGTGAAGCTTTCGATTTTATGTTTTTTGTGTAAATGGTTCGCGGCGGTGAATAACTGCTGGGAAGTTGAGGAAGTTGTGTTAGTAGGATTTGGAGCTAGGCTTTGTAGATTCCACTGCATGTTTGATTGATTTGTATTGCGATGATGATGGCGGATGAGAGCGCTAAGCGTTGATTTGTATCCGGGACATGCTGAGCTACAGGTACTTTCTGTAATTTGCAAAACAATTTAGGTTCATGCTCATAATGTTGGTGTTTTTGTCTTAAAACTTCTAAAGGGTGATAATGTACTTGCTTTCTTGTGTAATTGAATTGTTTTTGTTGACGTTATTCTTGTTGTTGATGTTATTATTAATCGTCTTGTTATTATTGTTGTTACGTTGATGGTGTTGTTGTCGTATGACACTATTTTTGTTGTTGCGTTGATGGTGTTGTTGTCATATGACACTATTTTTGTTGTTGC